TATGTACAACCCTATGTCACATTCTTATTATTTTTTACGTCGAAGCAATATCTCTCTTTTCGTGAATTTTAAGAATCGATTATTAGAAAATTGTACGAAACAAAAGACAGAATACGTGTCATAGTTGGAAGCAAGATTTGTATTGGTTTAGATCGTGTTTTCCTCAATCCAATCCAGATAAGAGACGACACGCGTGAATACGGTGGGATAAACGGTGCTGGCGCAACCAGCCGCCCAGGATACCAATCCAACGAGTTTTCCACCGACAGTCAGTGGGCCACCAGAATCACCCTAGAACAATCAAGATACCGTTTTGAATTTAATATCTAGATCTTGAGCATTTTTTTGAACACAGCTTAAAATATTTGACCTTAAGAAGATTGCGGTTTATAATTTACTCCTGTGGAGATATTTAAATAGATGAATTTAATGAGAATTAAAATCTTAAGAAACACTCACTTGACAAGATCCTTTTTCGGTCGACGGATCATGTGCGCAAACTTGCGTGGGATAGACGGCAAATCCCCAATCTTCATTATAAGTATTGTTGCAGTAAGCTTGATCGGCGATGAGGATGTTGACTCGTTGCAGCTTGGTAGTGCTTGGTCCTCCTTGCTACAATTTTATAATAATATTCATAATTGTTGCTTTAAAAAATTAATTTTTTTTTAGTCTTTGTTTCTCTTTATATTATAAATCTCTTTTGCAAATCTCAAGAGATATTGTAAAAAGCTATTATTTAATATAAATAGTCGCTGTTTCGGTATTTCCACATTACAGATTAAACAATATATTTAAAACGGCAAAACAGACTCACCCAGAGGTTGCCCCATCCCGACACAACAGCTATATCATTGGGCTTAACGACGTGATCTTTTGGTGGCAGGGGAACAGGTCCGATGGTGGCAGATTTTATGAAGGGAGTTTCCACCTGAAAGACAATTTTTGCTTAAAATTTATTACTAATTGTAATTATTTATTAGAAAAAATGTAAATAAAATTTTAGTTTTATCATGTATAAAAAAGATAGTGTACGCCATGTTT